TTCTCCGCAGATCTTCGGTTCTTTTGGTCTTTTGGTGGTGGAGATGGCGGCCGCAGGATCTGGACCTCCAGCTGACATAATGATGCAGCAGTTGCTGCTGGCGCGTTCCTGCTGCAGCTTCCAGTTGCAACTGCACTTTCGGAGTGCACTCTAAATCTCAAGCATCGCTTCCTCTGCGTTTAATTTTTTTTTTTTTTTTGTCGCTTTACTTTCCCGTTTCGCATATGTCACATGCAATTTGAACTGAGACCCGACCCCCTCTCGCGAAATTCGCCACCCCCTTGTAATTGTCGGCAATTCTGCAATTTTCGTTATTGTTAATGGCGGTTTTTGTGTGTTTTTTCCTCAGTTGTTGGTTTTGTTTTTGTTTTTGTTTTCAGCTTTCGGTTTTGTTTTTGCCAACAACTAACAAAAATGGAAGCGAAAATCTCACATCTCGCCGACAATGGATCGACTTGGCTCGGATCCGATCGGATCGGTTAGAGCAGGCGTCCATCGATAGCTGACGGAGCCGGGCCTCCATCTGCATATATTAAAGGTATGAATAAGCACTGGAAAAAAAATTGGACTACTCCTATGAAAAATTTTAATCTTAACTTGAACAGTTTGATACTTAAATAAATTCATTTTCTTCTGTTACACATTATATTTGTTTTATATTACTCCCACTCTTAACTTTTACAAAGTCATTATTTTGTAACAATTGTATCATATATTAGGTTTTTTTTTAAATACAATTGTAACATATTAATGACTGTCGATATTCGCTTAATTCGGATTTTTAGCTTGCAAAGTTGATCGGCCAAGATCTTCTCTAAATTAAAATGCAAATAAAATCGCTTTGTTGACTACAAAATAGCAATAAAATGTTCAGTGTATACCTGTGTAATGTATGTGTAACCCCGATGATTGCGTACGTTGCAATTGCGAAGGTTCCTCTCAAGTCGCGAGTCGCAAATCTGACAAATTCGCACTCGCCTTTCGGATTCGCGGGTAATTGCGCGACTCTCCACCCCTCCATCGACTCGATCCCTTTGATCTCGCCGAATCGGAATCGAAATCATCCGCATAACTACCTTTCAAGGAGTAGGGGTTGCCACCCCCACAAGGTTTTACCTCCAGCAGTAGTGTTCAGTGTGTAGAGTGAGGTCAGCTAAGTGTTATTTTTAGGGGCCAACCTATATTGCAGTCTTATGGAACATTTTGGAGAATTGCTTTATAGAAAAGCCTAAAGGTTTAAATCATAATTAAAGAAAAAAAAAATTTCATTGCATATTAAAAAAAAATATCAAAACTTCTGTTGCAAAGACTTTTGGCTAATGGAATTCAGAAGCTATGAAGCTTGATAATAAATAGATCTAAAAAAAAAACTTATTACTCTGCACTAAAAGCTTAAAAATCTGTAAAATTACAAAAAATTTAACAATTTTGCATTCTTTGACAGGGTTAACACGTAGAAAATGAGGTATAAATATGAGTAATATATTTTTAACAAATTTTGTCAAAATATTGTGTCAAGAACTAGAAACAAATTCATTATAAAAAAAAAATTGTTTACCTATTTAAATTAATTTCATAATTGAATTATCTACAAAGAGTTATTTTATTGCTAGTGCCGGAAAATTCTTTCAATACAGCTTAGACTACAGATTATTATTTAACCATAGCTTATCAAGTGTAAGCGATTTCATCCCGCTAACCGGCTATTCTGTGCGAGCGGTTACCGTTCGACTGATAAGAGTTATGGCGATGCCCGGCGACCCCTACTCCAAACACACCACCACCCCCTCGACTTTGCCACCCACTAGCCCTCACCTTGGGACTTGGTGGCACACATTGTTGCCCTCAACTCCCCTTTCTCACACTTTTTATAGAGGGGGTGGCTCTCCATCTCTCTCTGTCTCTGAAATTTCTCTCTCCTCTCTCTCTCTCTCGCTTTGCTACCTGTGTGCAACAACAGTGAGAGCGGCAGGTGGGTGGTGAGGGGTTGTGGGAATGGATGGGTTAAGACGAAGGGGGATGCGGCACAGAGAGAGGGCGGAGAGCCAATCGATTACAAATGCGCGTGTGCGACGCCACATATGTGTGCGTGTGTGCGAAAGTGCGTGCGAATATGTTTGCGGGCTTGAATTTGTATGTGTAGGGATAGAGCGCCAATCTATATGCTATACAGCACACAAAAAAAACTAAGAGATCTCCAAGGATCAACACTTTAGGATCTAGTTTTTTTTTTAAATATTTAATAAGTTTTAAATCATGTCGTTAAGATAATAATGCAAATATATCTCTTAAACCCTAATCAATAACCTTCAGTAAGTTTATTTGTAGCAATATGGAATTTAATATAATGTATATGTAAAAATCATTAAATAATAAGAACTTTACAAGAGTATCATTTCCGTTTTATTACTAGCTTTTACCACATTCAGATTGAAATAAGTAAATAGTATAATTAATACGAGTTAACAAAAATATCTATCTGTATCTGCTAAAAATATCAATAATTAGACTTGGTACTCTTAAGTATCAGGTCTATATTAAAACAAAATACATTGAATGAGCTCTTAAATGAACGGGTTAAAAAGGCTTTTAAAAGAAAAGGGAGAACATGTTTTAAATAAAACTCGGACCCTAGAAAACCTATCACCCCCAAACCACACACACCCTTAACCCCCACCTCCTCTAACAATTAACAACAAAAACAATTTGCACACACACTCACACTCCAAAAACAAAAACCACTCACACTGTCGCACAAATGGAGCTCTCATATGTGAGAGTGCGCTGATTCTCATACATACATATATACATATATGAGATATCAAAAGAGCCTGACATTAATGGCAGCAGCGACGTCGACTGCGGCAGCGACGCCAGCCGAGAGCGTCCAGTTTTTTGTTTTGTTTGTTTCTTTTTTTTGTTTGGGGGGCTATCGGGCAAACATGTTCGATGTTGCGGCTGCAAGGGTGTGAGGATTGGAGCCAAAATAAAGGGGGGAAGATCATTCATTGAGGGATGCGCCTTAACCCCAGAAAGACCTCCTCCCAGCCCCCACCCACATGACCTTTGAAGATCTCTGAGAGCTTGCAACATGTTGCTAGCAAGTCGGTTCGGTTGGCTCATCCAAGTTGCATGCGCTAAGTCCGAGGCTAACGAAGCTTCATCAGACGCTTTTGGACAGTCGAACGAAGAGGACGCCGTTCACCAAGCGGAATGATGTGGGTTCCCTAAACTTAGAACACAATGGAGAAACAAAGCAATTGTACTTTTATGTTTCATATCTGAAAGATTTGTAAAAAACTAAGCGAAAGTTATTGTTCAAAAAACCTACATAAGTTATATACAACCAATTATTCATTTTATAAAATTCTTTTAAAAAATTCTTTGCCCAGTCACATTTAAACTGGCACCTGTTTTAGTAAAAAATTTGAATTTTTAAGATACATATCACAAATATTGATAAAAAAGCTTTTAATATAATTTTATATAAAAATCAGTTTAATGATAATTTTTTTGGGATGGTATTTAAAAAAAAGTAGATTTGATAAAATAATAAAAAAGTTTATGACATATAAATATATTTATTGAATGAATTCAATAATAATAAAATATGTTCTTTAAAATCGAAAAGTTATACTTTTTCAAGATTACATGATAAAACTTAATTTAGTAAGAAAACATTTAGGTCAGAACATAAAAAATAAACGTTTCTTTGATGTTATTTTTTTTTGTAATCCATTTTTTAGTTAAGAATTTTATTTACAGTTTTTATCCTTTTTGTGAAAGTGAAATTGTTAAGATATATTTTTTTTGATCGCCTCATTGCTCTTCCTCGCCTTCATGATCCTACATATGTACATACAGATCTCGAAATATTTTTATATTGTTTTGATTTTTAGCGCGAAAGGTGCGCGCGCCCCTTAATGCTTATGAACTTGCGGTTGTTTGTTGTTATCCCTGTTTGTGTCCTGCCGGCGAGAGGGTTGCAAAAGTCCGTTTCAAGGGAAGCGAACTTATCTGTATGTAAATCCGTCGATTGACCAGAGTGACCAGTTTAAACGGCACCACCCCTTGCGACTCGATTCGCATGTGTTGTCCCGCTCTAGCACGCGAACGGGTGTTTCGATGTCCACCCCCACATACGCACACATACTATAACACACACACACACACACACACGCACACACATGACCGGCGGCAAATAAACAAACGCCCGTTGCCACCCAACAACAACAACAACTACAGGGCAACCCACCACCGCACCACCCGAGCAAACAACAAAAAAACACCGTTAAGAAAGGGCTGCGTTGGCGTCGACGTTGCGTCGGCGTTGACGTCGACCGAAAATCAAATTGCCAGATTGGCATTAAAGTGCAAAAGCCTGAAATAAAATTGAATTATCTGCAGTCGCTCGCAGGACATCGTCGCGTTCGGACATGTTCGCCTAAGCTCCCGCTCTCTCTTGCTCTCTATCTCTCTGTCTGTGGCGCTCTCTCCCGCTCGCAAGCTTTCGTCTCGCTTGCAACGCGTTCGCTCGGGCTCGTTGACGTTCGTGTTCGCTCACGTTCGCTTGTGTGGGCTGAGCTAGCTTGGAGTTTCGGTGTGTTTGTGCTTTGTCGCACCGTGTCTTGTTGTTGTTTCTGCCTAGCTGGACAAAAGCTGCGGCGCTGCAGCAGCGACGCCGGCGAGAGCAGCGGCAGCGAAGACGCGCTCGCCGCTAAACCGTCGCAAGTAGTCGCGTACTTCCGCCGTTACCGTTAGCACCACACACCACACAAAACGGAGCTGCTAACCGCCGCCAAAACACACACAAGAAACACCGCTTTTTACCGATTTACCGTTAGCCGTCGCGGCCATAACTAACTCCCAAAACAAAAACATATTAAATTCATTTAGAAAAAATTAAACAAAAAATATAAAACCAAAATACAAAACAAAATCAAAAATACACACTTTGTGCAATTTTTTTCAAGTGTCTCGGCGTGTGTTATCAACAAAAATACAAAATCCAATTGGTTACATATACACACATACAGCAAGCAGCCTAAAAAAACCAATTGGTTTTTTTTTTCTACACAAATGAAGCCGCGTGCGAATGTGACAACAACAAAACTGCCAAACAAACAACAAATCCTTTAAAAAAAATAGAGCCCCCGTGCAAAAGGTTCCTATTACTACATGAAAAAATAGCAGCACAGATCACAAAAGTCATAAAAAACAAGTGACAAGTGTATTACTGAAACATAATTTTTTTTGGAAAATGGCAGCCCTAGAAAAGCCCCCAAAAACCAAACTGAAGCTGTCTGATTAGAAAATTTAAAAGCTAGAGATTCCAATTAGTGTATGTGTGATTTTTTTTTAACCAAAAACTAAAACAAATCGGAGGAACGTGCAATATAAATTATTAACGAATAAAGGAGAGTAGGCCTAAGCAAAACCAAAACAATAACGAATAGAACTTTATAGTAAGAAAGCCAATTGGAAGTTTGCATCCCAGTTGGAATTGGGAGATCGGCAGGACATTGCCCTTCGCTGGGTTTGTGTGCCTGTGTCTGCGAAGTTTTGAAACACCTTCGGAAACTGGAAACAAAAATGAGAATTAAAATGCCCGCGGTTCGAATTGCACAAGGTAAGTGAGATTGGAATTGGAATTGGGATGGGGGTAAACTTTTCCAGCTGGGATATTCCAATTGGGCCGTTTTTTTTTGCCGGTGTACCGCAAACAGCTGATGGAAGTTTTTGTCAGGTGCTATTTTTTTTGGCTTTAGAACGTGAGAAATCGATTATATTAAGGGGGTCTTTAAATGGGTTTAAGAGCAAGATAGTGTTTACTAAAAAAAACTAGTTAATACAAGATGAGATTTTAAAGTCTTTGTAATTTAGATCATTTTTATTATTTAAAAATATAATTTAATGCTTTAAGATAGGAATTCTAGATTATAACTTTTTTTATTTTTATTCTTTTGTAAATAAAATAATTTTTAATGCTGTTTAATTTTATTTCTATTATATGTTTATATCACGATTTTTAAATCATGTTGTGAACAATGTTCTAAAATAATCATTGTTCATTTTTCATTTTCTATATTGTCCATTAAAAAATAAATTTTATAATCAACATGAATTGCAACTAAAGAAAAAAAAATTTCATAACTGGCAAATACTGTTAGCATCAGATTAACTCATTATTTTAGCAATGGGTAAGCCCATAGCAAACAATATTTACAGATAGTGACTATATTAATAGCTGGACAGTTCTAACAGTATTGGGGTCACCACCTCCATACTTTAACTAGAATTTAGGATTTGTTAAACGTGGGCCTATGGTCAGGCCATATCAGTCGACCATGTCACACCTCTGCCGTACACCCGCACCCCTTTTAACCATATGGAAGGTCTCCTTCAGCTCGCTTTTGTTGTTGTTTTGTATCTAGTCGAGTTATCGCTGCGATATCGCCATGCCTAAATCAGAGCCCGCCTAGGTGTGTTTGCAATGATTTTTCAGATTTTTTTGTTTTTACTCGCTTGACTTTCGTGGAATCGTTGTTTTGGGAGATTGCTTCGTTCTATATTTCACTCGGACATTCCGTTGAATTTCCTTACCAATTTGGCGATTTTCGGACGAGTGGCGAGTCGGAAAACGGCTTTGTTCAAAGGGAAATCAGGGCCGTAAAGTCATAAAGCTCGGATAGCGGGCCACATTCGTATGCCTTGGCCATATCATTGTCATAATATATGGATTGTCCCCCGCCATAAAGCCATAATATATTTTTTCGCTCGTTTTTTGGGGCCCGGTTGGGGCTGCTTTTTTTTGCACAGATTTTCCATTTGCCGAGTGAGCAAGCAGTGTTATCAATCTTATCTAGATAGCGACACAGAGCGAGTGGACAGTGACGCACTTGACTCGGCCAGTTGCCCACTCCCAAGTAATATATATATACCCGTTTTTGAAGCCCCTCGCGATCCCATCCCCATGTCGTCAAACAATTTTAATTGCTCGCAAAGTTGTTTGCTGTTCTGGGTTTTTTGTTTCCTTTTCGTTTTCGGTCTATTTGTCTTACAAATCAAAATCAACAAAGCGGGGTGGCTGCACCTGTCCCTCGGCCGCCTTTTTTTTTCCAGGTAATATAGTGATTGTGATAAGAAGAGGCCTAATTGCTGACGATCGGAGCTTGGACGTGTTTTCAGATGGAGAGCATCGGACCTGGGGAGCACTGTTACCCATCCTTATCGATATCTGCTGTCCCCAAAATTGCTGTTGTTAGCCTCTTTTATGTGCCCTCCACCGCCACCGCCACCCCATCCCCCATATCCATTCTATCATAATTAATTGCTACAATTTCAATTTCGATTCTTTTTTTTTGTCACCCCAACCCTAACGATTCGTTTTTTTTTCGCTTGTTGACATTTTTCTTGTAGTGGGAATCTTTTTGATCTCCGACAGCAACAAAAACAATATGAGTTTTACAGCATTTCGTCATGCCGCCCATGGGTGCTCTTCTTATCGGGAACATGGGTTAAAAGGGGTGGCCGCGGGGGGACAATGGGCCTGATGAGTAATTTCCGAGAACAAGTCGCAATGTTCATGTACGACAAGTTATTGAGAGTGCCTAAAATGGATGGGAGAAGTTGATATCGAGGGGGATGGGAAAGCATTCACCCCCTTTGGCATGGAGAAACATATCGCTTTTCGAGTAAGGGGGGATCTTGTGAATTTAACGCTTCAAAATAGTCCATGCCATTTATTATAGTTTTGAGTTTTCAATGCATGAAGTTTTAATCGTAACATAATTTTACAGAAATATTTATAATTAATTAAATCAATTTAATCAAAAAAAAAATTTTAAGCAATATAGTAATTCGGTAGTCAAATTTTTTATATATAAATAACATTTATAAAACATAAATATCTTATATTGGGTAACTTTAAGAATAATTCCACCCAGCAATCAAAAAAAAAAAGACAACTAATCAATAAGTTGTTGGCAATTAAAATATTCGATTAAACAGTACACTTTCAGCTGCCAGTCAGTTAATTCCTGCATATCCTGCATGTCGTTGAGCTTGAGTGAACAAACATCCTGACGGGGATTCGGAATAGGGTTCGATTCTATATGGTCAGCGTTAATCGAGCGGCACGCTTCTGGGTCCACCGATTGCACCTGCACGTGCCCGCATTTAACCCGCCGTTGGCCCCTTAACCCCTCTTTGACCCGCCTGACTGATTGACTGACTGACTGACCGGGGCTTTCGTTTTGTACCCCCCTATTGGGTGGACATCTCACGGTCGTCCTGGCGCCTGCTCTTGTTTTCCTTGGCTCTTGTTTTGTTTTTTTTTTTGAAGCCTTTTTGGCTTTTGCCTTTTTCGTACCTTGGTTTTCTTTTAATTTGATTATCGACCAAACAGTGTCCATTAAATGAGCGACCGACCGACCAGGCGACCGCTGCCGCCTTTTTTGTTATCCTGCTCCTGTTCGCCATGGCAACGTCCTCCTCGCGTTTTCAGCCTTTGCAATTGTTATAACAAATAACAGCGGTGCCCCTGCCCATCTGGCCCCCCGAAACGCCCACTCCCCGAGGGTCCTGCACCCGCAGTGTCAACGTGTCGTCATGTGGACGTCAAACTTTTGTCCAGCTGCGGCCACAGTTTTGGATGTTGGCTGTTGGCTGTTGACTGTTGGATGGTGGATGAGCAATGGTGGGGCAGGGTCTGGGTCCCAAAAGGACGCAAGGGGATCGGTATCCCCGGGCTAAATGCCAACTCTCGTATTTATGTATAATTAAACGGCTCAGAAATACTTCTGCACGGACGAAAAATAGACGAGTCATTAATGCTAATAACAATTACCCAAAAAACATATACCAGCTTTGAGGTTGGCCTAGAAAATAAAGTATAAAGGCCTTATAAGTTTAAACTATATACAATATAGTCATTTTCTAGCGCAATTTCAAAATACATTTTAATTTAGGTATTTGCAAAATTATGTACTCAACTACACACTTAAATAAACATAAAATAATGACTTTAAGTTAAGCCAGAGCATAAGATTGGGCTTTTTAAAAACTTTTTACACGTCGATTACATGAGAGTATAAATAATTAAAGTCAATATGTTATGACATGCTTAGAAAGATTTCAATTTATTATTTTCTCAAATCAAAAAGTGCTATTTAATCACTTTATAAGGGCTAGTAATTATTGCGTATGGCTTTTATCGGAGATCGATATCACAATAAGCCATAAACTTTTGTCTTTATAGTTGTAAATATGAGAAAAATATTTTTCCATTGCCTGTAGAGGCTTAAAGTTGTTAGGAATAGTTTTGTATTGTTATAAACGGTGGTTTCTTTCGGTGTAAAAAGGGGAACTGCTGCATTTGAATGCTTGCGGGGGGCAAGGACATGGCGGATATAAATTGAAACTGGCCCGTTCTGGGCTGCTCAGCGGGAGAGACGCCAGCACCGCTCACATGGTCCAGACACCGGTCCCCCGTTCCACCCATGAAGCCCCCCCGTTTAACCCCCTGTTGCCCCCGTCTAACCCCCTTTCCGAGTCCTTTTCCCTACTGCCGCTGGCAGCATAATCAGCCACAACAGCGCTCAGCGAGTTACTTCCGCTGCGGCGAGTCTGAGAATCAGACGGAGACTAAAACTAAAAACTGAGGTCCAAACTGTCTCGCTAGGTGCATCCGTTTTGGCCAGCCCTGCATGTCCTGGGAGTCCTGCAAGTCCTGGGAGTACACCACCCTCCCTTCCCCTTTTAGCTTTCATATTTTTCTGAATTGTTTTGCACCCGCCTTTGTTTTCCACTCGCTTTTCGGCCTTTGTTCGGTTTTGTTTGCCGACTTTTTTAATTTTTAAAGTTTTTCACTGGAACAAAAAGCGCGCATAAAGCGAGTAAGTGTGAATGCTTTTGACTATTATTCGCTGACTTTTATTAACCAGCTTCGCTTTTCTAATTTGGTTTTTCACTTGAAAAGCTTTGGAAACACAAAGGCAGAAGTGAATTAAATCGCATATGTAGGTTAAATTAATGCTTATTGTTTACTGACCAATTAATTTGAATTATTTAATAATTCTATATCTATATTCATAATTTTATTATTTTTTTTAAGTACAAAAAAATAAATGCAATAGAAACACCAAATCAAATCATCAGTATTAATAACCCTTAATTTACTTGTTATTTTTTATTTGGACAGCCAACATGGCGTATACTTAACCTCTGCCAAGAATAAATAAAAAGGAAAAATACGCAAGGGAAACGGGGAATCCTAGAAAATGACCTGAAATAGAAGCTAACAAGTTAATGAATTTTGTACTCTTTTGCCTGCGTTTGTTTTGACGCGCATTTTCTTGGGGGTTTTTCTCGATTTTTTTGTGTGCCGGCTTTTCGTTTTTCTTTTTTCATTTGATTTTTTTTTTATTTTATGATGTCCCGCCCAGCACTTTGGCAAACTTTTCACTTTCAACGGCAAACGGTGGGCGAGTTGTGGGGTGGTGGTGCATCAGAACTTGGCACCTTTGTCATAGTTAGAGCACCACCGCCACCCCCAATTTCCCCTTTTGTGTCTCTGCAAACACAATTTCTTTTTCTCGCTTTTCTTTTCTTTGCTTTTGCTTTTCCTTT